GTGCCTCCAATACGAAAGCTATTTCGTATTGCAAGTTTGCGAATGTTGCACATTGTTGGCATTTTTATCATGAATCATTCGACTCGGATCGGAATCCAAGTCGATTCGGTTCAATTCAATTCAATTTTAGATTTTGATTAAATTTTAGTCGAGTTCTCTAATTACGAAACAAATTTAGCTTACAAGCGGAAAGTGATTAGGTTATAATATGATATGGTCAAAACATTTTTATCAATATATTTTATAGCATCCGTAGCTATTATTCAATTATTATTATTATATTTTTTTTAAAAGGTCCATTTGAGTTGCAAGATTGGAAAGCTAAGCCTAGCATTTTATAGTTGCACGTATACAATACGAACACGTGAGTTTGGTAATTAATTGCATATCTAAGTATAGTGAGTTAAAAATTGAAATGACCATTGAACTTTACATTAAATTTTTTTGAATGGTCATCAGACTTATCAATCGATTGATGAGAAACGAAAAATATTATATAAAATTCAATGACTATTTGAATTTTTAACCTCTGTTATAGTAGTTGTAGATTGTTCACTTTAAATTTTAAGTATTCAGTATCTAAAACTTACTCTCAACTTTTATTCAACTCCTTTATGTTAAAATATATCATTCAGATATAATCAGATGCTTATGACGTTCCCTCCTGAAGATATTGTTTATCGTGCTCATTGTTGATTCGATACTTTCTTTTTACAATTGTATAATTTGACATTTCGATAAAATTTATTGACGCTTGAGAGTATATAAGAATCAATACTCTTAAAATTTTTTTTTTCTTTTGGATTCATTCTATATCTATTATCTAGTATAATTCTAGAATTTAAGTTTCAAAATAGATTTTAAAAAAATAGTAACTATGCGTGCCTATTTTAGGTTTAGAAATGGTTATAGCCTTAAAGCGGGTTGCAAAATAATAAATAACACGTTAAAAATGTAAACGACTCCGCTGGGGATCGAACCCAGAATCTCTGGTTCCGTAGACCAGCGCCTTATCCATTGGGCCACGGAGTCTTACATGCCGATGTTCAGATTAATTATTATTCAATAGCTTAATCAAAGCTGTGAAATCAAACAATGTAAAGATAAAGCCCTTGTTTGATAACAAATTTTTAAATTTTAATTTTCCTTAAACTTATTTTCAATCATACATTTCATTAGTTTTTATTAAAATCTAGTTTTCAGTCAAAGCATGCAAGAGCTAATTGGACTTACGCCCCAACATTATTTTTCCTTTTTTTTTTTATCTCGTTGTACAAAGTGCAATCAAGATTATTTGGGCATATTTTATCTATTGGGAAGTAAAGGATAGTATAATGATTAAATGAAAAAAGTGGCGAAACAGGCCGTGCAAGCCGCCTAGAACAAGTCTAAAAGAACGATTCATTTAACACTTATAGAGCCTGTTTGGTAACAATTCTCCTTTTCTACAGTAAATCAATTCTCATTTTCAACCACACATTCTTCAATAAAATAATATTTTCCATCACATCAATACTTTTTTCTTCTTTTTCAACCACACATTTCCCATCAAATCACTATTCAAACATCNTCAATAAAATAATATTTTCCATCACATCAATACTTTTTTCTTCTTTTTCTACCACACATTTCCCATCATATCACTATTCAAAAATCAATTTTTCTCCTAAAAATCCCTACCAAACACACTCATAGTTAAGTTATACACACCTTGCTCAATCACACCAGCAATTAAATCGGAGCAGTATGCTCAGCTCTGATTAGGCCATTGTTCGAGCCCCATTTTTCACAGAAAAATAAATTTTATAATAGTGATTTTTTTTTTTAAATGTATGATTAAGAGGTAGAGAAATTTTAAATTTACGCGCAAATTTTTTTATTGGAAGAAAATATTGTTGAAAATAAATTTTAAAAAATGAATTTTTGAATAATGGGGTTCAGTGCTAGGTAAGCATCGTGCTTGACACATCTTAGTTTGAATCTCCGGCCATTGGTTAAATACAGAAAAAA